GCTGACGGAATTACTCAAAACAAAATATAAATTTCAGAGTTTAGACATTTCTTCAAGTAAAAACCTGAAGAAGTAACAAAAATTTAGAGGAAATAAATCTGGTATTGGTCACTTTGAGAACATCAAAAGTGATTTTGATACGTTTAGATGAATGACAAATGCAACACACGTTTAGACAAACCAACAGTTTTACCAATAACGGTAGACAATTACGACTGCAAATCCATATCGAAAGCTACATTCATTCCTAATGCATTCTTATCCGCTCTCTTTCCCACCCATTTTCATTGCTCATTCTCTTTGAACACGTCCCATACACATATCTCAATGAAGCCAATCCACAAACAATTTACTCATTCCTCATGCTGTTCTATTCATTCGCTTGGTTCTTATGCTGACGATCTCATTTTAGCCAAATTACTCTTGCTCGTTGTTTCAATATCCTCATATCGCCCTCAAAAATCTAGTCTTTTAACTCCTTCTTTTCTAACCTAACAACCTCCTCTCTTCGAATAGTATGATCACCAATAAATGTCGCATTCTATCGTTACCATGCTGTGACACCATGCATTTATTTTTCTTGTCGCATGAACATACTGCCTCCGCATTCATCACATTTCCAGTTTCATCAATTCATCCATGCTTCCGATTCTTGTTGACTTATTCTCATCGTTTCACAACTCTCCATCTCATTCTCTACTATACTTGTGATTTATTGATGTTGTGTTGTCTGAAATTGAAATTTTCGGCGTTGAGTGGTGAGCAACTAATGAAAAGAAGACTCTTGCCCAACATCTGTCCAACCAACTAACTCATAATACTTACCATTATTGCGGATCGGCACTCCTCCCCTGCTGTGTTTTCTCTCCTAATTCATCAACCCAATATTTTGTTGTCATTATTTTGGAGGATTTTGAGGGACACACCTCGTCAATATTGTTAATTGAACGAACTAACGATATTCGTCGCACAAGTAAAACAATATTCAGTAGTCGGTATTAGCAATGCACTCAGCTCATAATGATGTAAACATTTAACAGATGAATCTTAGTTGATTGAATTCTCAGGAAATGAACACGCTTTCGTTTGTTCATACGAACAAAAATCGATCGTGCTCATCTACAAGCGCACACCATCTCTCATCTCCTTCTATCTACATGAATCAATCATCAGGTTCACATCGAAAAATGTTGCTTTAGATTGAAGATGTCGCAACGAAATGTGAATCCGTTCATCTGCCTCTGTTTATGATTCTCCTGTTTTAGCTGAGTTTGTATGCTTTGATTCGTTCACCAGACGTTCGATTCTGTGTGCTTCGATATGACTGCTAGATGTTTAACCCCCATTTAATATCAATTTTGTTGAATAACAGAACCGAAAATGTCCGCAAAATTTGCTCTGACATACCCTGCTGCGTGCACTAATTTTTCATTTTGAGTAGGGGACAATTAGGGAATGAATCAACGGTGAATGAACTCTGTTCCTTTTGATGATTAACTCTTTTACTCCTTCAAGCTGTGTTTCTTTTTCCAAAAATACGAAACTGGATTGATTTCTTTTGACTCATTCCGTGCGTTTCGTAGAAAGATGAATCTTTTGATGATTCACGCTGCGATGCCCTTATTGTTGTGTCCCATTCTTGATGATTCCTTTTCGTCATTGTCGTTGCTCGTAATGTTTGAAAAATAGCTGATGAATTGTTGCACTTGATGAAATAGCGAAAACGATGAGTAATTTGATTTTATGCGATCACAATTTGATTGCGTTTTCAAACCCTTTCTATCGAATGCTGATGCATTTTGCATATTTATTCATCATGGTACTCATTCAATCGTTCGTCCATGTCGCTTTCCTATATTCATCAAATGACATTTACTTTGTCTATAACGCTTTATTTTATTGAAGAAGCGAACAGTAGAAAACTCTTTATTCATTCGTATTCATTCGAATAACGGACGAATGTACGAACGGAGAATGTAACGTTACTTTTTTCGTGTACTTGTTCCTCTTCTCAGTAAATCTCAATCAACACTTATCAAGTAACCAAACATAAGACTAGTTAACTGCTTACTTCCTATCCACAATGTACTGTTGATCTGACACATGTGCACTTTTGGTTGAGAAAGAATATTATGACGGGAACGAGTCACTTCAAATTCTATGGTGAATATGCTTTCTCGATTTTGATTTCATTTGATGGGAAAACATCTCGAAGTTGAATTTCTTACGTGTTGTGTTTTCTACTTGATGCATTAGAAAACAAGCGAATCTCTTCCCATTAACAATATCATTTCTTTGACCACTGTGACTGAATGTAAAAAATGCTATAGTTAGAACTGGTGTTCGTAAGTGGGCCTCTTCCTCACAGAAGGGAGACCGGAGGGATTCCTTGAACGGAATTCCTCTCCAGGCCAGAGGATTTTGAGACCCTTGCGAGTGCCCACACTCTTTGTTTATACTTTGGGGAATACAACTGTTAAGTTTTTGAGTATTTTTTTGAACATGGCAATGCAGACTGATTTAAGCCGCGGGTTGTGCCAATCAAGCATTCAGATTTTTCGTAGGACACGAGTAGGACACGAAGTCATCGTAAGAGGCCAAAAAATCTGTCTATTGTATCACGGTTTCGAGTAGTCAGTGCAATCGAATAAATTGATCTGCGGTAGAATGCGATTCGGAAAAGCAGACCTTTGCTCATTGTGTGTTTTACAAAATCGGAACTGACTTCATATGGTCATTATTTGGTACAACATTGGTTCTGCTCTTTTTTCATCATTGATGTTATGGTTTTAATGAAGATTTATGACCGGTAGTGTCGAAATTTGAAGAAATTTACTCAAACCTGGCTCCGCAGTTCTGAAGTTCGTCTGCGATTCGAGCTCTAGCTCACGAACCCTAAAACTTCGGTTTCATCTCCAGCTCCGGTTCTGCATCCTCCAAATTTACGGCTACAACTTCGGCTTCAGATCCGAAATTTACTTTGCTCCGGCTCGGGTAAAAAAATACCATGCAAATCCTAGTTCCACTGTATGTTGCTGCGATATTTTTTGATGGAGTCTTTTTTTTTCGAGTTTGGGCGTTACTGCAATATTTGTGGTGATTAATAAGTCAGTTATGAGTTTTGTGCAATCAGTTCCTATTACTTTTCTTTTCTGCGTTTTACGTGGTCCACGTGGGAGCCTCCCTAAGAGTTAGATTTTCTGATAACGGAGGTCATCGTCATCGCAACTTGTCGTAATGATTCATGCATCCGCGAAGAAGGATTGATTCAAATTCTGAACACTGGTTAAAAAATTCCGTTAAAGTGATCATTATTCAGCATGGTTTTGTTATTATTATTATTGTTATGGTCAATCATAACGCATTATAATTCAGTTTAATTTAGTAAATTAGTATTACAGCGTGTAATCTAGCTTTAAAAAGTGCGAAGATACTCTCAGTCGAAACGATGAATTCAGAATTGTTTTACAGTGGCGGGAATGCGATTCCATTTTTTTGTGCGATTGTTCATTAGTCCAGTTGATTGTTGGTTATCACGGTCATCGATATTTCGAAAAACTCATCGATATTTCAAAACTCATCGATATTTCGAAAAACTCATCGATATTTCGAACGAATCGATCAGAAAGTCAGCAATCGTTTCTTGTTATTTAATCATATTTCGAAATCCACCACCATCTATCTAATCACGATCATCACAGCCAATGTCTCATGCTGCTTATGTCTTCCGGCTCTATTCCATGCATTATTCATCGATTTATTCATGATGACAACGTTTCCGTCCATTATATGTGCTCTTCTAGAATGTCATTTGTTTCGTCTTCATTCTTCTCTTCAATATTTCTTCTTCTGTTCACTGTCTACGAAATATCGATGAGTTTTTAGTAGTGATAGTGGTATTATGTGTTCCATTTGTGCAATGTGCTCGATATTGGCGAGGTTTTTGGCTGAAAATATTGCGAAATTTTTGGTTTCATCGCAGACTGATACGAATGAATGAAAAAGCAAATAGGTTAAGTGTTGATAACCACTGGATAACGAAACTTTGAAATTTTGAAAAATAATACGGAGAATAATATTTGCAAGGCAAGAGATAGAAGTTTTGGCTCTGTTGGCCGATCGTTTCTAACCAATTTTAGATGTTATCCATTTGTGATTTGAGCTATTTTTGTTTAAGAAAATCCACTTTTCACCACATTCGTTGTTAAATCAAATAAACCACCTATCGATTTATGTGAAAGCAAAGAAAATCAATATTGTACATGAATTGAAGCGGTTGTTATTGCTTGCTCATCACAGCCATAATGCTTGATTAACCTTCTCATTTAGCAGGATAAGCTATGCTGGTTTTGTCTCATTAGGCGCAAGGTGCTTATTAGTGCAAATCCCGAGCTTGCATCCAACAATGCTACTGGTATGAAAAATCGATTCATGTGATGACGACTGAGCGCATTTCGAACGTGCAAGATAACAAATTTGCTTTTTTTGTCTTCTAAAGGGTCTGATGAGACTAGGTATATAGCGACAAAGTTGGTTTCGGTGATATTTCTTTCCGTTTTAGGCATTTGCTTCATAAGGTTTTGCTGCAGTTTAGGTGAACAGAGTAGGCAACAATCCATGCATATTAAAGCGTCTATTCGCGCCGTTTACTACCAAGCTCGATTTGACCAGTTGTTCATCTACCGTTGACTGATTGATCCTACATAGCGGACGTCTATCATACTTTTTAACTGATCGGGATCCTTGTTCATATTTTGTCACTGATCATGTGGCAGTTACTTGACAAATACTAAATTCAAAATTTTATCAAGTTTTGTCAAAAACGGTTTCCATCAAACTCATTTTTGATTTAGATAGTTCAAATTCGTTTATTACTTTTAGCGTTACGTGCTATTGTTTTGTAATTGTTGCTTGCATTCGTTTGATTCGATGACGATAAATTTGTTTACAGGTGACATAAACTCGATGGTGTATTAGTCAGTAGAGGGCTGAATAGATTTATGTACGCTTGGTGTGCGTATCGCTGATATTAGTGCTGAATCGATAATTAGTTCTGACTTTAGCCGAGTGAATGTGAAGAATATTGACGAAATTCAGAAAAAAACAAGCAAATCAACGACGAAGAAGAAGACAAAGCGAACAGACGAACGAGTCTGAGATAGTTGTTTGTTGGTGAGATATCGAAGACAAGCGCTCTGTTGCGCTTGTGACATAAATTCGTCAAAATTTTCCCGTTTCTTGCCCCGTTGCGGGGCTATTTGTACACGTTCAACGTACGTAACACACAGCTTGCACCAGTCGATGTCTCCTTTATTGAGGGTATTCCGAATGCGATTTCGGTTGATCGCAAAACATGTACAAATACTCAGTTGAATAACACTATTACTACTAGTGCTATAGACAGCACTGATACTAATTTCAATCATACAGTGATCAGTAACGAATTGAATAGTACGATCACTATAAACACCGATGCGGTGACACTCAATGAACAACCAGTAAATGTGCCAACTACTTCCAAGAATGTCTCACCATCGAGTATTAAGACAACCACTTCATCACATTCGCCACGTTCAGTTACATCGCCTCGTCATGGTCGTTCATCTCCACGAACAAACCCGTCATCTTCATCATCACCTCGTACCACAACACAACATGCAGATGCTGCCGCTGCTGCTGCTGTTGCTTCTTCATTCAGTAAAGATGCTATCAGGGAGACGCTTTTGCAGCCGTCACCATCACTTCAGCGAACTCGTATGAGTCGTAAAGGTTTGGAGGTTTCTGCAGCAATGTTAGAATTGTTCGGTGGAAAGCCAGCTGTAGATGCAAGTGCTTCTCTTGAGCAGATTGATGCACATTCTTCGTTATCGGAGCTTGGCCAAAAGTCACATACTGAAGGTGCTACTATGGCTGTCAATTCAACAGATTCCACCAAACCACTCGATGAGGTACCCAGTAATGCTATTGACACTGACATTAAAAATAGTATTGCTATCAGCGAAAGACAACTCTTAACCGAACGGAAACAACTACTAAATGACCAATCAACTGTTTTTACTATGGGTACTGAAATTTCTAATTCTAAACGACGAAAGGATTTTGATTCGGGTGTCAGTTCAGAACCAGGCCCTGAATTGTTTACCGAACAAAACGTGGTTATTGATGGTGACAGCTCCATTGTCACTACGGGTGTTACCGATGATATTCCTCAACTACCAGAAGAACGGCATCGAACAACTGACATTGCCGAACTAGAAACTGCAACCGTCTTAAGTTACTCAACTAACACATCATCCTCATCGCAGCTTTCAAGTCGAAGTTCAAAGCGTCGCACTTCTAACAAGAAAAAGAATGATGCGGATGCGCCAGGTCCCGAATATTACGGTGAGAATGAGGATGAAACAGCAACAACTTATTGTGCTTTAGCAAGTAATAATGCTGTTAGGAGTACAAGTAGTTTTAGTAGTAGCAGTAATGATAGCAGACGAAGCAGCAGTTTTGAGGGTACCAATTTAGCTACTGCTGCTTCTGGAGACCGTGATGTGACAGCTAATGGAAAGAAACAGCGAGAAAAGAGCATTGGAACGATGGGTGATGAGGGAGAGGGAGAGGGCAATGTTGATGAAGAAATGGTATTGAGGCAGAACGAGAAACGAGACGATGAACAACGACAACAAATGAGAGAAGGAGGAGGGGTTGAAGCGGAGAATGCTCGTGACGAAGAGGATGACAATACGCTGCACAAAGCCAAATCCAGAACGAACGACAGCGGTAGTGCAGCAGGCGAACAAGTCGACGGGATGCCGGTCGCCACACAAGCGCCGATTCTTATTCGAGGCGCGCAAATCGTGAATGATGATTCAATCTTTAACGCGGATGTTCTAATCGAAGATCGAATTATCAAGTTGGTTTCATTTACAATTTCAGTTGATTATAACCTTAATTGTGGATGGTCGTTGATCTATGAATTAATTATCTAACAGTCACTTAAATACTCATCATGCAGTCCACCGGATTATATGTGAAAGTCTTATTTGTATGCATTAATAACCTCTCTTAACAAAACTCTTGTTCTCTATGCATCTTAAAATTGACTGTGAAAACAATAGAGTGTTGATGTTACGCAAATCGTACGCTGATTGGCTGTCGGTTCTCTTTGATACTGTACTATTACTATTTGTACGTGTATGTGTGGCGCATTAACTGAAGACGAACTAGTTAATAGTACAGTAATTCCGTTGAAAGGATCGCAAAGAAACGGTTTCAACTATTCTCACCAGGTACTTTCATATGCTACCACTAGAGTAGTGCTGTTGCGTGAACCATCAAAATCACCCATAGTAGTGACTGTTATTATTGCTCATACGAATTTGCCTCCAACGATAAATCTCACTTTGCCTGCTGAATCCTCGACTTAATCAGTCATATCTTGATGAGTGTCAGTCATTTATTCATTTCACAAATTTCTTAATCAGCATTGAACGAAACCACCGATTTCATCGGAAAATCTACTCTGCAAGCTTATTGCGAACCTTATTGGATGTTTTGCCTGGAAAACAATTTTGATTCAACACCATATATCCATTAGCGAGGAATAATTGAATGGATGTCTTTTATGATGTCTAAGTGTGTGGTGAGAAATTGATGTGCATATATGTATGAGCACAAGTGCACATATACAACGAGCAAACAAATCGATTATTCACTCATTTGTTCGTTCATTTCTCGATTTTGATGATTGCTTGAGTATTATATGCACTAGTACATATATATGTATCCGTTCATTCATTCATATAACATCCCTCGTCCACAAAATGTTTTTACATCAACATTTTGAGGTTGCTCAAGTACAATTTATTGTGGTCGTGTCACCAGAGTTGCTCATCTGTCACCAACTCTATCATCTCTTCGCAAAACGTAGTTGCGTTCACAAAAATGCCAATCTGCATTCGTTCTCAATTCATCCACTATTGAAAAATTGATTATTCTATCCATTATGAATTAATGAATGTAATCATTGTCATCATCACCGAATTTCAGTCCATTAATGCATTACATCATTCATTAATCTCCATCTTTTTCCGTTTGTAATGTAAAAAATTCAAATCATCATCTGTGCATAACTGCCACAGGTAACGTCAAATCAATGGTCGTTAGCGTAGTCTCAATGAGTCTTCCGATCGTCTTTTTCAAGTCGAATATATCCTTCAATGTATGCAGCCTCCATTCATGTACATAACACTCTCCATGCTTTTTTTTTGTGTCTAATGGAAGTTATTCATGAACATTTTCTACGAATGTTCATCTTTCTCATATGAATTCATCAACAATTATCGAGTATACATGGAGTGTTTGATTCCCATTAATGAATCGAATAAAAGATATACAAGCACTACGAATTATCTTTGTTTGATTGTGGCAGTAACAACAAATCCAATAATAACTATGCGATTGACAGCAGTGTTAATAGTATGTGATAACAATTATAACGAAAATAATGGGAATACTATTAGCGTATTTCGGTTGCCTTATCAACAATGCGTTTTTCTTGTTCGTTAGAATAGGCGTGTCATTGAGCTTTCATGTAACAATTGACTGATTCTCTCTACTGCTTTGCGCATAATTTCGCTATGTTTGCCGAACATCTGCTTCACAGTTTTCCTCACGTATGAAGGACGGATTGATTAATTGATTGACGATAATGGGTACGAAGCTTGGGTCATCTCTATGCATCGTTCTTTCCTCGAAATCCCTTCATTCATTTGTTCACACCACTATACCATAGCGTATGAGGTCAATTGAAGGTGAATGTTATTTGAACGATAAAAGCTTACTGTGGGTTGCGTGATCCATAGGCACCATATGCTTCATAATCTTATACTTTATTCGTTAGATGAATTTAGTTCTCAGCTGGCTGTTTATTGTGATTCTCAATTCACAAACTATGGAAGCAACACAAAATGAAGTATAATGAACGAACGGACAGAAATTTTCTGATCTGTGTGACCTGAACTTCAGATACACGTAGACTTCATTTAAGCGAAAGCTTCCTGAGATAGTAACTTGCTCGGTTCAAGTTGATGGTAATCTTATTATTATCAGCGTCGTAATTTCAGACAAGTTTCAACATCACTTGATGCGCCAAATGGTGCGACGATCATTGATGGTAACGGCAAACTACTATTACCAGCCGGTATCGATGTGCATACCGATTTGTCATCTGCGAATAATGCCGATGATTTTGCAACAGGATCAAAAGCTGCACTCGCCGGTGGCACCACTACTGTATGAAATATGCACTTGACACCTCAATAATAATGATAATTAACAAAGCAAAACATTACATTCAATAACAATTCATATTTTGGTGAAAAGTTATGAATGGATTTTTTTAAATCAATGAGATGAGAACTATTCCACGAACACGCGAACTAGCCGTGCCGTAAAATATCCTATCTTCAACATCGCTAATATATAGTTTCTCCTCTCAGCGCAATAGCCGTATTCAGTCATTGCTTCACCTAGTTCTGCATGGCTGCCCTTGCATCTGTTCTGTTCATCGGATTCTCACTCATCAACTTTTCGATTACTCATAGTGATCCGTTCAGGTTATTGATGTTGTCATACCACGTTCGACTGAATCCATTTTGGGAGCATGTGATCGTGTACGAAAGGCGGCTGAACAAAAGGCATTATGCAATTTCGCATTCAGTGTGATGATCTCATCATGGAATGATATTGTTAAAAAGGAAATGGGTTTAGTCGTTAAGGAGAAGGCGATCAATAGTTTCATCATTGATCTGCGTTCGGATGAACACCTATTTCAGGTGATTATCCTCTGTTTCATTCATTTCATTACTTCGAGAGCAGTTAAGCTGCCATCCAAAAATCTTCTTGAGCCGTTTGACATCCTCAGTCATCATCGCGATTTCAGCTTTCTTACTTCTCTTATTCAATGAATCGAAGCCGTTGTGTGATAGCTATTTGAGTGTTTTGCGTTTCAGGCATTCGAATACTGTAAATCGATCGGTGCGCATGCTCGTGTTTTGCCGTATAACAAGAATATTGTATCCTTTCTAGAAAGGAAAATGATCTCATTGGGTATCACTGGCCCTGAAGGCTATCTGCAATCTAGGCCAGAATCGGTACGTTTCTGTATCAATTGATGCAAGTCGATGTTGTGAGTCTAAGATTGATACATTTAGCGTATTAGTGAACACCGAATGCAACTGTTTACAATTGCAGTTAGAAGGTGAATTTGTTGATCGTCTAGCGGTACTGAGCAATCTCACGAATTGTCCGGTTTCGGTGATGTCAGTTTCGTCGTCAGAAGCACGTGACGCCGTGATGCGTGGCCGTTTTACATCACTCATCTATCCAGAAGTATGATTATTAGTGCAAATCAATTCTGAATTCATTCTTTCAGATCACATTTTAAAGGAACGATGCTGTAAGATATGCTGTTCGTGAGAGCAGATGAATATTCTTGCATTACTTTCAATTTATACACTTATTACTATCATCAAAAACAGTATGTTACTACCGGATAATCAGAATGGAATTAATGCACGTTTTTTTTTGAAGATTTCTGTGAGCGCGTTGGCATCGAATGGCACACACTATTTCAATAAATGTTCACGTCACGCATCCGCGCATTTAACGCCATGCCCTCTACGTGTCGACCAGCGTACTCCAACACTTCTAGTTGAATGTCTTGCAAAGTTAGTTTCATGTATCATTTTTTTGCTAAGTCTTGCAAGTCTCATAACACATTTCACTCATAAAATCTCACACACATCTATCATTAATGCTCTTTTACACTATTCAAGTGTTTTATGAGCTTAATTTGATTTTCTTTGCTGTCATTATTTTTACATCTTCAGTTTCTGTCGATGTTGATCTGTGCATGAGTATCAAAATTAAGAAATCGGCAATCATTTGTAACAAACCTTTTGTTCAATCAGTTTTCAGTTCGCCTTTATGCGTTTGCGTTTCGGATCATCGTGGTCTCCGCGATCGTACGCTCGGTTGTAGTGATTTCACGCAAATGCCAGTTGGTGTATCGGCGTTAGAAGAACGTATGAGTGTGGTGTGGGAGAAAGCTGTCTACCAAGGCTATATGGATCCGATGCGTTTTGTTGCTGTAACGAGCAGTAATGCGGCAAAAATATTCAATTTATATCCCAAAAAGGTTTACACATCGGTCTTACATCACTTTTAAGATAAAATAAACTCTTCGTTAGCAACGGTAAAAGATGTTTGTTATTCAATCCTCATACAGTCTCACTTTCAAATTGCTTGAATGAGAATCGTTGAAATCGTTTTCTTGTTGTTTTTTTTTCATCTATCGGTTATGAAACCAGTTGAGATTGTATTCGCCGGCTGCAGTGATACCACCTCAATTCCAGGGGCGTATAGCGGTTGGTGCCGATGCGGATGTGGTTCTGTGGGATACGAGCGTGAAACGCAAGTTCTCATCAAAAACGCAACAATCACAAAGCGATTTCTCGATATTTGAATCGTTTGTTGCACATGCGGCTCCGCTTCTAACAGTTTGTGATGGGCGATTAGCGTATCGTGATGGAAAGGTGATCGAAATTAATGAACGAACCAAATAATTCCTCAATAGTATCCTTCTAGCAGCACCATGCAATTAGTTTAAAAGCAATGAGAATATAAAATTGAGACAGAAAAGAATATTACTGACAGGGATTGTTGAATTATCGGTCATGATAGAAGCAATAATGAAAATAATTAATGCGAGAACGAAAATGACAAGATGAAAAGAATGATAATGAGATTACTAAAAGAATCAATTGAAATTTTCAACACTCTTTTTTCAGTTTGACAATGAAGCTGGCCATTTTGTACCGCTTTCAACGCATTCACCGTATTTGTTCTGTGTGGTACAACAACGGGATCGAGTGAGTGAATTAGATATTTTGTTGTTGAGTTGAGAATGGCTTTGAACTGACTTGATAAAAATGAATTATCGATCGATTCTGTCATCTTATAATTGACTCGCATGGTTTGAGTTGATCCTGAATTGACGAACAACAATAATTCATTTATTAATTAATATATCCATGTTTCTTTTCAGTTGATCAATCCTTTTTCGAATCAGTTCCCTCTAGCGTTCTCTATGTTCAGTGATCAATGTAATCGATGTTGTTTGCAATCTAGTTGCAGTAATAATTTGTTGAACGTGTATATTTTAGGTTCAAGTTCCCGAAAAAGTTGAACGTGATGAAGCATCGTCAACATTCGGAGGTAGCCAAACACATCGAGCCTCACCACCGTTCCGTCAAACTGCTGAGGCGCGCCATCATCCGCGAAATCAGTTCGATACAACATTCGGTATAGAGCGTTTCTTTCATTGTTTGATATTCAATAGACTAGGCTGTTTATCATATTCTGTTGCTTTTATTAAAGTAGTAATCGTGATATTGTTAAACGGACAAATTTGTTCACAAACAAACAAGAGGAATGAGGGAAATTGAAGAGATGGTGTGCTGGTGAGTGATACTTCTACTGCAGTCGGACTGTTCTATTCCTTGGAATAGAACAGAACAGTTTCAGAAAAAAAGGCGGAATAGAACAGTCTACCAAAAGTGTGCAAGAGAAACATCATTAGTGGTTGTGAAGCGAGTTGTGTTTCGGAGAATATTTTTTGAGAGAACCATGTAATGATGTGATTCGGCATAACAAATTTAGATGTAAAACATGTAATGATGGTAGTGGGGTAACGGACAACAGGTGATGATAGGTCGAACTGCTGGTGCTGTTGAAAGTATTTTGTGGGGAATTGCCTCAGATTGGTGATTTTGAAGCATTCTTGATTGTGGTGATGAGATGATCAATTGCCTCGTTGTTGTTGTGAAAGAGAAGCCTCTTGTTGACGTGCCCATGCTGTTTATAATGGAGGGATTGATCAGAGTGAGACAAAAGCTGATGATTGGATCAGATATTTGAAAAAAAAAATTGCAGATTTGTTAGAGGAGTAGAATTGTTGTGATGATACACTTTCTGAGGGCTACTGACTGATCACAATTTATCGTATTATCAGTGTTTAACCTGGCTCTGAGTAGTTATTTAAGAACATACCTGTGTGCTTGATGCAGATTCGAAAGTTTGAATTAGAAGGTGTTGCGATTAATGATGTAATCAGTAGATAAGTTCATGTTACAGAAGACGCTCGATCGACACGTGCTTCAACAAAAGTCTTGAATCCACCTGGTGGTCGTTCGACTGGCTTTTGGTAGAAACTGATCGATTCATTGCTTGAGTGAGCGGTGTTGATAATATATATATGTAATGACAGTCTCTCAGCCCATTTTCCGAAATGATAACGACGATAATAATTTGTTATTGTTAATGAAGTGTGGATCTATGCTGCCGACAATTTGGGCTTTTCGTTCTTTCTCGTTTTCCACTTTTCTGTGCAACAAAAACATACTTACTTAAAGAAGATCTGATTATTATTAATTTGTTTGTTTGTTTATTCGTTGTTTTTTCTTTCGTTTCAGTTCCAAATGCATAATATTTTATGAGCATTTTTCGTTGGTCTCCATGTTAACACTTAAGCATGTATTTTAAGAAAAAATGATATGTTGGGTCATTATTTTGTCAACAATCTTTAATAAAATATCTCATCAATTACATGTTTATCATATACACTTACCAATAATCTCTCTTTTCTCAATGTATCGCATTTGCTATCTGTTCAATCTGCCGCAGCAAATATTACTAGTCATCATCATCCCATCCTTCAAATAATCCCGAGGCAAGTCAACGATTGCCCAATTTATATCAATTCTTTTTCATTCATCTTCCCATCTTAAAATAATAACGAAACGACGGATGATTTATTGTCTCCAATAAACAGCTGGGTATGTATTGTAACTCCTCTTCTCCCTCATGTTAATATGTCACATTATCAGAGATCATTACGAATTGGTCCCGATCAGTGATATGCGATTAATAGCGATCGAATTCGAAAATTCACATAAACCACTAGGAATAGTAAAAATAATACTTGAATGCGATAATAATAATAATGATGATATTATTCTTATGATGATTGCTATTATTGTTCCGTTCTATGATACAAACGTTTTCAAGTGAAAAATGTTGTTCCATTGTGAAACTCTCATTGTATTTTTCGCATTTGTCAACGCTTCACATTTGACGCATTTGCTTGTTCGGCGTGTTTTTATTTGATGAAAATAGTAATTTCGTTCATTCTCCGTTAACACTGATAATAATAGTGAAAATCATTCGCCTACCACCTTTCTGTTTCCATTTGAAGCTTATCGATTCAGCGATCCAGTACAGACTCGCAGCCGTCTGTTCATCTGTGTGCAGAATTCTGGCATTACCGCTTTTATAACATCATTCATCCAAGTTTTGAATCGGTACGAAGCGTTAACGTTTTGTGGCAAGCCTAAAACTTATACCGGTTGAAAATGGTTCGATTGTGGTTTTGTTACAGTTCATTTTCAACTCTGTTCAAGCTTGCATTCCGTTCCTATTCACTTTGACCAGTCGTAATTGTTTCTTGCTTTGATGCTTTTCTATCCCTGAAATAGTCAATATTTCGAAATAATAAACTATGTTATCGCTTCGTGTGTTCATGTGTTTTTCATTTGATGAACAAATCGAGGGAAGCTACATCACTTCAATGAAGGCAATTAGCGAACACTTCAGTTATACCCAACTGGTCAACAATCATTCATAGTGATAGAATTCGAATCTGCACATCATCATATCGCTAATAAGCGTCTGTAATCAAAAAGTTGCAATAATAGTTCCAGCTCACGATCAGTAAAATTAATATGCAACGTTTCGTCAAAATTTGTTGGTTTGTATGATGGCAAGCACAATACTCGAGTTGACTGATTGTTTAGATGTTTGGACCTACTGATGTTTCTGTTTCACACTTTTGCAAACTGTTCTATTCTATTCCACTTTTCAATTGTTTCCCTCCATTCTATTCCTCGCGTCCTTTTTTCTGGAACTGTTCTGTGCTACGGAACAGAAATAGAACAGTTTGAATGGAATAGAAACATCACCATTTCAACGAAGTATGCGCATCAGTGCAAGTGACAGTTCATTTCCAGTTTTTGATTTGGATGACTATTCGAAATAGTTCTTTCTGCCTGTTTCGTTAAATCCGATCCAAACAACTAACTACTCACCCAGTTTCTCTCTGAATAGACCTTTTTATTCACCTCCTCTATTCATTCATTTAGTTCTATTGTTCATTTGATCATACATATATATTCACTGTCTCGCCCGCAATCAAACTGAACTTCAACTGACGAAATGCAGTCAATAATTTCAGTCAAGGAACGAATTTTGTTTGCATGAGTGGCATTTGAATCTGATCATCCACCCATTCGTGAATGTTTTCAGTTTTGGAACAAGATACGTTCATCGTCATCATTGTGACTCTAAAGACTTAATAAATGGCTTTGTGGATTCGTAATGGAACAATCGTTAATGAAGATGGCATATGTAAAGGTGATATAATCATCGAAAATGGCTTGATTACGTGAGCAATTCCGGCTGAATTTTTTCATTTATTCAAAGAGTCACTGATCTGACTAATCGACGCATAGGTCAAAATGACATTCGAAGAAGCACTTCTCAATTCATGACTGTTCAACACGCAAAATAAAACTGCACAAAACCTACCGCTTGTTTACGAAGCACTGTAAATGTAATTACTCATTTTTCTGTTCGCTTCACTCTTTACTGATAATTGTTATTCGTTTATGATGAAATTGGAACTTCGAAAAGCGTGAAAGAATCTTAAGGTTTTACAACACAAATGACCACACAAGCAAGTGAGCAGTTCAGTTCTCAACAGGGAATTATGTGAAATTTCAGTGCAGTTGGCGAATCGCTGTCAAAGCCTCAAAATTTGAAGCGTGAAATTGATGCGGAAGGACGTTACGTAATGCCAGGTGGTATAGACCCACATACGCATCTCCAATTTCCATTTATGGGACAAGTTTCTGTCGATGACTTTTACATAGGATCAAGGGCTGCACTCGCCGGTGGTACCACAATGGTAAAAATTCGTCTGGATAGGCGTAGAACAAGTAGATCACCGCTTACTGATTGGTTGATGAAGACGGCTTCTTAGATGAATATATTTTTTGATGATAGTTATCGAAATGTACATTCAGCCAGATTTGTTGTCGTGAAAATGATTATTATCACTATGATAACAGTATCGTTTTTAGAATGATCGATAATATTATCACACCTTGATCCTTTTTTAATATTCACAGTTTTGTGACAGTGAATTATTTTTTGAAAGTTTTCAGTTTATTGATTTCGTCATACCACAGAAGAGCGAGCTTCCACTAGCGGCATATGGCAAATGGAGAGAATGGGCAGACAGCAAGGTGATTTGGTTCACTTACCTATTGGAATCGCTCTGAATTGAACGTATTTTGTTAAATAGAGTTAAGCAGTTTAACATTCGAGTTAAAACACTAATTACCATAAGTTTGTTTGTACAGGTGTGTTGTGATTATGGTTTGTCGATGGCGATCACGTCATTCAATGAAACCGTAAAAAAAGAGATGCAAATGCTTGTCGAATCCGCTGAGTTCGGTATCAATTCATTTAAATTTTTTATGGCATATAATGAGTTCATGTTGAACGACGATGAGCTGTATCAGGCAATGCTTGAATGCGCTCGAATTGGCGCATTAGCAAGAGTCCATGCCGAAAATGGACGTGTTATTATTGAGAAGCAAAAAGAACTGCTGAAACAAGGAATAACTGGACCCGAAGGACATCCACAAAGCCGTCCTGAGCAGGTAACACTCACTATAGGTTTGCTGTTGTTGCAGCTGTTAAGCGAGTAGAATATATCAGGCTAGTTAAAACAGACAGTGTTCACGTTTTCATTAATATGAAAACTAATGTGAGCAGATGTGAAAGAATCAATTCCCATTAAGACATATATGTTTGAGGGAATCATTCGAAAAGAAAGAAATTCAGTAAGAATAAAAACGATCGAATTGAATTGCAGTTAGAAGCTGAGGCAACGAATCGAGCATGTGTTCTAGCATCACAAGCAAACTGTCCATTATATATTGTTCATGTGATGTCGAAGGATGCAGCTCGAGTGATCGCTACGCATCGTCTGCGTGGTAACGTTGTTTTTGGAGAACCAATTGCAGCTGGTCTTGCGACAGGTAAACCTTCACATTCATCTATTTATAGAATATTACTTCTAGCATTACGATTACTACCGTTAATTTTTGTCGTTATTACTGTTATTTCTATCACTATTTAATATTTTCACTTACAGATGGCTCACACTATTATAATGAAGATTGGTGTCATGCTGCCGGTCATGTTCTGTCACCACCTCTGAGTCGTGATCAGAACACACCGTCTATTCTTATGGATCTACTCGCTTGGTAAGCACATTTTTAAGTGGAATTTATTTCAACGATACTAACACTTAAAGATGGTAAACGCATTGCCCAGTGGTGATAGTGTCTACGAAAATTTCATGAAGTTTATAATCATTACATTTTAAAAACGTGTTACTTCAGTTCTGCGTGTGATATCAAATTTAATATTGACTTGACACCAATTCGCGGATAGCCACATTTATTATTCAACAGAACTTTTTGCTTTTAACGCTTGACGGTTAATTTACGAGACCCCAGAAAAAAATTGTACAGGCTTCTAAATTATTATTCTCATATTATTGTAAAATTTAAGAATCCATGTAGCGATTTCAGTGGGCAACTTCATCTGACAGCCACAGATAATTGCACATTTACGATGGAGCAAAAGATGGCTGGTAGAAATGATTTTACAAAAATACCAAACGGTGTTAATGGAATTGAAGATCGTATGAGTGTCGTTTGGGAGAAGGGCGTTTGCGGTGGTAAAATTGATGCGATGCGTTTTGTGGCTATCACAAGGTTGAATTGCACTTAAAGATTGCATTCATTCATTCATTTCGTTCAATACTTAATTCCAAAATGGATCCGCAAGCTCAAACTGTCTCAAAAAGATGAGAATCGCGCTGAAATTTTGTTTTAAAGTTATTCGTTTGATCACGAACAATTTTTGTATCATCATTTTTCAGTTCAACGGCTGCAAAAATTTTCAACATATATCCTCGGAAGGTATGATCTAATATGATCGAGTAATCAATTTATGCATATGATGCATGTGTTTGCGTATTAGTTACTTAATATGAGCATTTTTGAGTTGTGATCGCCTTTTTTTTGCTTCATAATAATACACTCACGAATCGTTTAAATGATTCGTACAATGATTATATGCTACACTCGCAAAGTGTCTCATGTCCCGATAATGGGGGAAATTTTTTTGAGATTCCTCGGAGAAACCTCAAAGCCTTGAAGTCCATTAGGAGCGAAATCCAAAGAATTCTAGATCTGAACTCAACACTGAAAATTGGGAGTGTATAAGAGGGAAGTGGGACATTTTGAAAGAGAATGAAGGTTACTGTTTGAAATCGGATTGTTATTTTTGGATGATTTTGTTGCACAATATTGAAAGAAAATTACTTAGAGTTAAAGTTGCATTCACTTACAGAATTTAATCCTTTCCATATTTTTTTTACAAAAACAAATATTCTCAACGAAATTAACGTTGATGGATTTGTTCATCGTAAGCATAATTGCTAAGCTCATTCGAGCGACTACCAATAACTCAATTTCATGTTCACAACAAATGATTGCATGAAGTTTTATGAGAGGAAAGCGGACGTTTTAAATTATTTTATTTCGAGGGTCGTATTGCGGTCGGTTCCGACGCAGATTTGATCATTTGGAATGGCGATGCTAAGCGAACGATTTCGGCAAAGACGCATCATCATGCATGCGATTTCAATATTTTCGAAGGCATGACCGTTAGTTGTTTGTTGCTTCATTTCTTTGTTTTATTCTGTAGTACACAACATTTTTGGATGGAATATCTTCTTGACGACTACCATTCAACTTTATTCGGCTTTCTATGCGCTCTGCAGCACTGCTTTGTTGGATCAATTGAAAGTAACTAGCAAACTGAAATCTCCAATCGATTATTCGTACCGATGAATATGTGCATCGTATGAATGATTACTTGTTCAATTCGTGAAGTTTTAATGTCAAAAGGATATGATATGAACTCGTAAGTAGTGATATGAATGGTGCAGAACTACCCAGTGAATCAGTAGAATTCATGCTTTTTAGGTGCATGGCGTTTGCGAGAAAACGATTTGTCGAGGTGAAGTGGTTTGGGAGAATGGTCAACTGAATGTTGAGCGTGGATTTGGTCGTTTTGTCAAGCTCACACCATTCTCAAAATATTGCTTTGCAACAATATCGCAACGTGCTCAGGTGTTTAGATTTTTCAAAAAAATTGTATAGTCTCTTATTCGTCTAGTTTCGCTTTATGAATCCCGAAATCAAAAATTTAATCGTCAATTTCAGACTTCTTAAAAACTTCCTGGTAACTTGAACTGTTTCGCTTTTATAAAATGCAAAATCTTATTTACTGCGTCACAGAAAAACAAGCCAGACAATTGGACCATATCTTCCACAAAATCACTGTTCTATCGAACTTTGACAGTCGAAGTTGGCTAGCAATTATATGTGAGATAATAGCACGAGTACCCGGACACCGTTGAACGAGAAAAAAAAAACGAAATTTAAACTGACCACTCAAAATGATTTATTTTCGTTCGAAAAGAACTGTGCCACTCATTTGCTTTTGGATTTGTTAGTTTGTGAACAAATAAGCGTTGAACGGAAAATGAATGAAGGAAATTGTTGTTGATAGTTGATAACTTTCTTTTTTTTTCAGCTAAGGGCACCACGTTCTGTTCAACGAAATTTAATTCCGGCAAACGTAAGGGCAACACCATCAAATGAGAACGAAAAAATTGGTAGATTTATATTATAGAATCAAAGTCGTCTGTTAACATCAAATTATAATACCTTTCTACGCTCATTTTATCATATGAGCAGAAACTATTTGCAAATTTTCCACTTGACGAGTTCCAGTGGAAAATGAGGATTTTCGAGAGCTCAAACCTTCGAATGAGCGGTTGAAAATAAGCAGTGTTCATTCTAAATGTGTGGGGTCTATACCATTCATTTGACAGTAAAAGAACATGCACTTATAAATATACACACATATGATATTGATATAGATCATCAAGAAACGAACAACTTTCAAAGATTAGTCCATGAGCTGTTCAAAATCATGTTCAATGAGACAAATCAAATCATGTTCAGCGAAAAGCAAATTGATGTTTCGATCTTTTATATTGTTTACGAGCAACTTGTGCCAGTGACCCTTATTATTTTATACGGACACTATCCTACGCATAGCAATGTTCGGGAAGAACTTCTATGAGTCATTCAGGGGCTCGTTCGTTTTATAGATGTAACTCCTTTTCAAAGCGCTTAAAATCGATTTTGATTGATTGACCAGTCGAACACTCTCCACAGGTCTTTTGAAATTGTAACCATCCAATATGCTTTCATATCTAGAACGTACAATTTATAACTCATCGATGGAATTTATTTGAAAAATAAAAGTTTCCTGAGATTATTTTTCTAATTTTTTTCACTTTCAGGAAAAACACAAGATAAAGTTGGTGAAATAAATACTTTTCAGTCGAAAATAACGGGAACATCCACAACTACTTTCACTGCTTCGAAAAATTTGCATCATCCACCAGGTGGTCACTCTTCTGTTACCTTCTGAATCCGTTCAATGTGACTGATGTCTTTGATCAAACCATTTGTCTTATCAAGGAATCAATCATTTCATCACACCATTCTCAGTTGCTGACCATCAATTTACTTCCGCTGTTCGTTTTCCAACAAAAGAATGTGCTTTAGATTCCGCATGCTTCTTCCACGTCAGCTTTCTGATGCTTTTATAATAGAAACTCCTGCTGAGACATTATTTTGTTTATTTCCGTTTTTGTGTGCACAATTCGCCTTTACTTTATCTCAACGATGCAATCGATCGAAAATTCACTTTAAAAAACACACAGCCGACCCAACTTTTTCATTCACTCATCTGAAATACCTCATCATCATCAGCATCATCGAACATACCCTTTTTTTTTCAATCTCAAAACCAAATCTTCTAGCATAAATATAATTATTCTCATCTGAATAAAGTTCTTCTTACCGACACTTGCTCTCAGCTATCAACCACCAAATGTATAATGTTAATTCGGTATGCGACTTACATTCACTGACCTCAACATGTGCCATTCGCATATGACAGAACATTCGTTACACCTTCACCTCATTTATTAAAAAATGCAAACTTTTTGCCCATTTTTGCAAGCGAGCCCATTTGAAGTTGCATTTTACAGTAAAAAAGATAATTAGATGATTTCTTGTTTAATTATACAAAAGTAATGAAAAATATTATAGTTAAAATCGCCATCGAACAAAATGAAAAACACTGTGGATCAAACGACGCAATAGAAAACACATCGTTGCGTATATGAAAAATTTTTTAGTTGTAAACATTTTTGCCAAACTTTATGAGAGTATTTGTTTGCTGGAGAACATGCGAATAGAGTCATTTTACAAGTTATGAAACAATTGCCACACGATATCAACTTATAACATATCAAACGATCAACAACAACAACAATGACAGATATTCATTTAATCAGCGAATTCAACTCACTCTGAGTCAATGCCTCTTTTATCATCAATATTACACTCTCCTTTCGGGGAACCTAACGATAATAGCGTTGGGAATCATGTCTTTATGAAATTCTGATTTGGAAAGCAAGGAGGTTTCGGGCTACTCTCCCATATTGTGATTTCTACGGAAAGGGTCTCAAAAAGTACTCAGTGCCCTTTTTCAACAAACTTTATGACAGAGAAAGAACCCGAAAATACATTCCGATTGATCGACTGAACATTTGTCCAACGACCGTTCAGAGTAGCCGTTTGAAACAACCAACAGTAGTGAATCAGTAATCCTTCAGTATCAGTAATAAACAATTAATGAAACCGAGTAGATCCATAGCGATGATCGACAGACATACCGAATTAATTGGTTCATTCAAAGCGAAATTAAGAAAAAGAAAAAATGTATTTGATGATCATCCTATTGATATGAGCAGCATATAATATAAGTGCAGTAAAAACAATGACATAAACGAAACGAGCGTTCAAATCATCGTCATTGACGATCGAAAATGTTAGAAAAAACCTCAATCTATCTACAACATACTCATCTTTATGAACATTCGTTTATGAACATTTAGAATGTCAAAAATTTCATCAACTTGAATGTGATGATCCGAAACAACTGAACATGCAAACAAATACACCAACGATAGAATCCTTCACAGAGACACCGTTTTGTAATTGCCTTCATTTCGTCAATTCTTCAAGAAAAACATACGAAATATGCACTACAAACTGCACTGATTCTCCATTCTATCTTCAGAACTGATACTTTCTCATTATTATTATTATTATTATTTAGATATGCATATCATACCACGATTGTCATCTGAAAGGGCGTAGGAAAACATGAAAGCTCGTTGGACTTATTTTGAGGCGTGATGACAATACAATAGCGAAACGATCGCTTTTACATGAACCGTCTCCAAACTGGAAACAGTCAAGAGGTAGAAGGCGATTGATTTGGACAGAACAAATGAACATCGATGTGAAACTTGCTGGATTCGATAACATAACCAAAGCGGCAACGTCAGTTTATGCTCGAAGCGTCAACACCACATAAAGCAGTTCAATGCAGATACAATTCGTAATTATGATAACTGATGATAGAACTAAACGGCGGTAAATGTGCAAACACCATCACACAGAAGACGCACATTGTTGAAATTGCACATTACAGTAAGTATGTAAGCATGATTGTTCACATCACTGATTATCGAATACGTTACTAGCATTACTTGTTGCATTCATTTTATTTGCGTTATTTCCATCATACTTGATATGACTATTGTCCAACGCAAATTTTCACAAAGAATCTAGACCGAACCAATTGTCGAGTGAAGATGGCTGGAACTGGATACCATATCGATCCAAAACTTGCTCTGCACATGAGCCTTGCTCGAGTTTTTTCATCGCCATTTCACAGATGCCGTGAAAATGCACAAATGCGGCCACAACTACGAACATATGGAAGAGCTGATGTGATTGAAACTGAACAAAACGTGATAATCGTCGAGTGAGTACACGACAACAGAAGGTGACATAATCACCTAGTAAATGCTGATCAAAAGATGCACAATTTCGATCGAAAGCAAAGAAAAGTAATAAGAATAATTAAAGCCAATGCTCCTATGTGCTCCAGTGCTTTACAACATTACATGTTCATGCATATTTCGGCGACAAGATTATAACGAAAGAGTTCATCGCTTAATCAATCTCAACGAACTTCAGACATGAATTCACTCACCAATAAATCACATTTTCCTGGGAAACAACGTTCCGGTGTACGACTCGCATAAACTGCCGCACCGGTCAAATAGAGTAAACCCATCAACAAAAGCCAATGCAATGATGCTTCATCCAACAGAACACGAATACCGTCTGTTATAAAAAGATGAATCGCTGGTACAATACCTACAATCATCACTTTTGTTCATCTCTTCTCATTAATCATTTCACTCTTTTTAGTTCACATTATCATGCGCCACTATTAGGCATTATTTTATTTTTCGATTCTCACTACAGCTATTACTATCCTCATGATATTAACGAAATTATTTCCACCAATTTTCCCACTCGCCCGATTATATGAGGTGATTCCATTGATGAGCACAATTACATGCTGTTCGAACAGGGGAGGAGACAGTGAAGTCAGAAAGGCTGAATTCACTGTTGCTACTTACTGATGACGAGCCAAGTATCCAAAAAATTAAACTGAACAAAGGATCGCTTACTGCTTAAACCCATTGCGACGAAAACACCGGCTCGAACCGGTCGAAATTTCGGCGCAGCAAATTTATCCCATAGTGAAACAATGACTGCCGCAATGCCCAGCATAAAGATCATTGACATGTAAACGATCATCGTCGCTGTACGACAATAAAATCCATAATAGATCCAAGGAATGAAGGAACCAACTATTAAAAAAGTTATACCGGTATAATCCAACCTGAAGTAGCCGTATTATAAAAGCAGTTTGACTGATAACTAACTGCAGTTTAATAATACACATATGTATGCATACAAATATAACTGCATTAACAAAAAAGATCAAAACTATATAAATACATGAAAATCAAAAGTTTTGCCAACAACAACAATTCAATAGCTAACTTACTTGCTGAACAGTCTTCCCACACCAACCGAATGACACTGAACCGTATGAAAAGCAAACGACATACCCAAACAAACGATTGCACCCAGAAAGAAAGATGAAAACACCACTTTTTCAGGCCACTGCACCAATGAATTGGGACGTAACAAGAAAAACAGCGTCACACCAACAAATGCAACACAACCTGAACTATTGTTGTTTTTATCCATTATTATCACCATTACCACTCAACTAAACTTCAACTAGCAACCATCAAAAAGTTAAATATGAGAATAGAAACTCAAACAACTTACCAAACATATGCGTCCAAATATTACCAGTCTCCGTGTGCAATGAGAATATACTCTTGAAACACGAAACAAAACTTGGTAACGGTGGGCGATGACCGGTTCGTAAATATTCGTTATCTTGAAGCCAAACGGGCAAAAACTCGAAATTTGTTACCTTCCAACGTGCTTCCCAAAACTGTAAAGTAGAAGAGAAATTTGAATCTTTACAATTATCAATACTATAAAGGGTTTATCATCATTATTATTATTAGTAGTATTTTTATCGTATTAGCAACATCCACCTAAGCACGGAATATCAAAACCCCAAAAACACCTTCTTGATGACAGTCCGTGTACCAAATTTCTCATCACCGGTTGCGGCGCCTACAATTTCTTCTTCGTTTATTTCGATCTGAAATGACAATGAATAAACAAATGACAGATAAAAGCAACGTACAAAACCCAACCTCACCCATTTCTTATACGGGATAACTTCATTTTTCCAATTAACAACTTCTTGAAATCATTCAAATTTTTAACTATATCACTAACGAATGATGCCTGTACACTTACGAAGGCAGCATTCAGTTTTACTTCTTGAACCTTTCGAGTAAACAATAAAAGACTGTTGTTATGATGCTGAAACTCACTTCCAATTCATTATCATCTTGATCCACTGCTGGTGCTGATGATACTCCTGTAGCTGAATATTCCATGTCAATAACAGAACGTTGTTGAGGATTGTGTGGTGACGATCGTAAAGTATTGTTTGCATTACGATGTCTATGTGGCTGAAGTTTGTAGCGGACCACATGTCGTTTATGCAAACCATCATCCTTGAATTATACAACTTTCATTTCAATTTGCTGCTTTATCAACATTTGACTGCTCATTCACATTTAATATCCAACGATTACAACCGAAGAAATAAAGGAAACGAAAATAAGCAATCATTCTAACCAAACAGTAAACACTAACCATCAACTGATCGTCGTTTACTATGGACAGAGTCATACGATTTCCTCCTGAACTGGGCATCGAAAATGCACGTCGATGACCTTTTTCGAACTTCTGTACAGATTTACTTGTTGTCGTTCGGGATGACGAGGTATCGTTTTTTTTGCCACTAGATGCTTTTTCTTCGGCAGCGCATCGTCCTTCCCGATGCTGTTGTCTTCTATCGACGGTAAGCATTGTTGCTGCTAATACTGCTGAACATGCTGATAAAATGTTATAACTGATACCTTAGTGTTAATTTGCACAAAGTAGAAAAATAAAATCAATTGTTTGCAAATATATCTTGCACCATCTACAAGGAATATTACGGCTGAATTCACATTCCGATTATTTGGAACATCGTAGTATATAAATGGTTAGACTGATGGGAAAGGATTATAACAGACGATGGATTATAACAATGAACCAGTCATTACCTTTTTCATCATCATCAGTATCATCAGTGGATCGATAAAAACGTGATGACCCTTGTTGACGAACATTAGACGATGCAATTAGAGGATGCGAACAGTCATGCATGGTTGTCGATTCACTATCAGCATTCAATTTGTAATCGTCGCCTCCTTTTTGTGAAACAACTGTTTCGTGTCTCACAATAACTTCTATTGGGTGTTTGCTATGTCCTGGACTGAAAATATTTCTCACCATTTCAACTCTTTACCGTCAAGTGCTCTTCATAACCTTATTTTTGATAAAATGTCTTCATCATATACAACGAAATTTAAAAAACCAATTCAAACTGAATTCTGAGAATTTTGGAACAAAACTCCGAATCAAGAACGATTCAATCGGACACGCAATTATCACCAATTCACCCACCTGTACTGAACGTCGACTTCATCAACAAGTACTTCAGCACAGCCATTAGCTGCTTTAACTCGAGGCGAATGCGTTCGCTCATTTATAATATCTTCAGCTTCCCGTAAAACGTCCTATAAATTGGCTCTTGAGGGCGTGACGTCATGAGCACAGCTTACATATGTTAATATTTCGTGAATGAAGCAACGAACGATAATTGCTTATGATTTCGAAAATATCAATTATACGACCACTGAGATAAAACAGTTTTGAGCAATGTGGATATTGTGCACTAATGTCAGTAACAAACGGCTGACCCCGACATGAACCATTGGTCTATTCATGTGATCACATTCTTTATTGTTGGATGAATCACAGACACCACTTGAGATGCAAGTGGAAGACTTATGAATTCGCTGATTTGACCGTTCGTCATCTGCAGCATCGCATTCGGATGTTGAGCCATCATCATCACTACCTTTCAGTACTACTTCAACAATCTTCAAACAAACAACTGATTAACTCTTCGTGAAGATGTGTCATATTTTCAATTCTTTTCAATTATATAAAACAATGGCAACGATGAAACTCGCTTAGGTAGAATTAACATCTTGCTACTTTTCACAAATAATTACCATGTGTGACATAACAACAGTATGAATGATACAGGTATTTTTAAAAAGTCTTCTCCGTAAAAATGCGAAACAATAAAGGAACATAGGTTTCCGCCTTAATAGCAAAAGATCCAAACTGATACTGTGGTAACAGGCAACACCGAACTGGATCGAAAATAAGATGAAGCAATAATCCTAAATTACCTGAGGTTGTTTTAGATCCATTGCTACCGATGAGACTGAATGACGGTGTTGTCAACAAACAGTTACAATGTATCACAATTTCAATCTAGCCAAATTAATTAGAAGTCGAAACGGTAATTTTGTATTTGAGGTTTGTAAAATCAAAACGGCATACACACACTTCGCCAAGTACGAACGAAGTGACAGTTCGCCAAGTGACGGAGGTGGGATTGTCATTTGATATATGTTCAGAAATGTGAATTTCTTAACTATTCAGTGGGAATAAATCCGGGCATAACATATATCATTTTGTAGTGCAGATCTAGGAGAACAAAACATAACTGATAGATTTGCTACTAATCAAGACATGTTCGAGATTTTCGATTTTGCGTTAAGTGCAAAAATGCAACAAATAATTTCAATTGGTACCCACTCGGCAGGAAAAATTTATACTCATGATATATACCATGTTGTAGCCGAGATTGAGTACAATAGAAATCTCCTTTATATATTGTCGCCAATTGTGAAGTTAGGAGAGTTATGACGCTCAGCGTGGTCGTACCTTAGATATAGCTCTGAGAAAAAAAAGAAACATCGCATTGTTGAATCGATGGCTTCTGAGACAGCGGATGCACTGAGTCTATCTCGAAAGATTTTTTGCA